ATTATACTATCTGGAGCTCATTTCTTGGTTTTTGTGATAAAGGTACCTAGAGGAAATTATCTCTTTATTTATTGAGGTCAGAGAGGGGCAGATTTTATAAAAGATGCATAGATGTTCAGTGGAATTTTCAGAATTACATGAATATTTACCTACCATTGAAACAGATGTCTAGAAGTTTTTCAAATCCTATTAAGCAAAAAATTATTTCAAAAGCTGCCTGAAATGATATAACATCCATTGCATTTTTACATTCTTACACTGAAATAGAAAGTTAGTCATCAAAACTACAATTCCGATTCATGTCTACAAATTCAAAATAACTTCCTCAGTTTCAGTTTACACTGTGTAAGCAAGAGCAGAGTTAAGCCCGAATTTGATTTTGACAAATGTTGATCAGGAGCTATTAAAATGAATTAAAGATACCAGGGGCAGGTCATCATGTTAAGAAAAAAAAAAAGAAAAAGGTATATTTTACATATAAAGTATTAATGCATAAAATTTTAATCATTGTCTTTGATTTTTTTTTTTTGACAGCTGGAAATAGTTTGCACTTCCTCTACTTCTAAGCACTCCGCTTCCTAAAGGGGTAGAGTGGGGAAGCAAAAAAAGTAAAGTTGGGAGGATACAGGTTTTTCAGAAGTCACCAGGAGATTGTTGACTCTCCTGTTGAAAATTCAGTCAGACACATTTTTATCTAACTGTGAAAAAATACTTTCAGATTAGCTTGGATTTATGTTTGTTCCTGTTACAAAGGTACACCCGGAGATGATGTTTGGCTTCAAAAAACTGAAGGGCAATGGCATAAGGCTATCAGCACAAATTAACAGGGCTGAAGCAAGGAAATCTGAAGAGTTCTTGTAAATCTCAAAAGCTTACATCAGAAGTGGGGGACAAAAAGATTTTGCCTAAACAAAAAATGAGTATCAGCAAAGTAGAATTAACCAAGAAATCCATTAACCAAACTATCACTCCTCTGCCAGAGATGACAGAACCACTGCCTCCAAACTTCCCTGAAAGTCTACTACAAGAGACAGAAGACTCACTAAAGCAGGCTACTGCTGAAATATAAGAGAAAAAAAAATCTAGTAGTACAAATGAAGAAGAGACAGCTGTAGAACCATGAGTATTCCTTGTCATCTGAAAAGAATTCTTTCTACAAAAGAGCAAGTGTTACCAATGAGAACATTGGAAACTCCTCAGCAATGTTACTGCACATGTAAATTAAGCTGGCAGATCACTTACAGCAATTGTTGTCATCTCTCAGCATCACTGACAGCACCTGGAAAATCTCAGCTGATTGAATGGAAACGCACAATAATTCTTTTGGAGCCCTGAGGGGAGATCCCATCTTCTTGAAGGACTAGCATCAGTCAGGAGATTAGTTGAGAGATGCTGACAATGTTACTGGACACAGATCACCAGAACTCCACAGAATTTTCAAGGAAGTCCTCTCTTTCTCAAAGACTAGAAACAGAAGACAGCAATAAAAAAATCATCAACTCTTCTTCCCCAGATGAAGAATTCTTCAATTTAAATTTGTATATGTTCATACTTTTTTTTGTCAACTCTCTTCTGCTTATTTACTTACTCTGCTTATGCTTACATTATATCTACTGAATGCAAAAATCTGAATAGCTGATTTTGGGTCTCTAGTCCTTAAACAACTTGGGCTGAGTGATAAGAAACTGTGTAATTCTATAATTTTTTGGCAAGCTATCTTTTTTGTCATTTCTATTTCTCCCTGGGTGACAGCATTTTATTGTTATTACTACTGTTTACCATTTGTATTATACTTAGGGGTCACAATTAGAAGAGCTCTGTTGTAAGGCATGCCAATGGATACAAATGTTTGATCTGAAGTGAGGTTTATAACCATCAGTTCATCAGTGTGGGGTGAAAGAAGGAGACAGAAAAAAACACAGAATGTTTACAGGCCTGATTCTCTACTGTTACTCCCTTGATTTCAGTACAGTTAATCTTTACTGATATCAGAGAAAGGACCAGATGCAGAGAAAAGTCAGTGGAAGAGCTCATGTGGAGTTATTTTTGTATCGGATACTAATATCTTCAGAACTGTGCCCTATCTATTTTGCCTAAGGTTAGTGACAGTCTGAGAAAGAATCCAGGTGATGTTACTGCAGTATTCTGCGTGAATCAAGGGCTGTCTGTACCCAAAGATGCACCAGTGCTTTTTGGGGTGTAGACCAAGCCCAGGAGTTGCCCGCTATGCTACCTTAGTTGTCAGTCACTGCTTTTGTCATGCAAAGCAAGCAGAAAGCTTAAAGCATGTTTAACAAAGGCCAATATGAAAAGAAGGAAAATCCTTTTCTATAATATGTTGCTTTGGGCCAGCATATGCCCTCTGAAATTTTCTTGTGCCACAGATTTCTCATTCCTGTATGCTAAAAGCATTTGGCACTGCCAAATCCACTAAAACCTGTTTTTCAGGGAGGGCTAGGTTATATCTACAGGTGCACCTGAGTGGAAATGGTAGGCATTTTCAAAATCCTTGAAAATCAAGTGTGCACAAGCACTGCAGGGTTAAGTGATTGAAGGCAGAAGGCATTCTAGTTACATTTTGCATTCTCCCCTTTTACAGCACTGTTGAATTATTTTGTTCATGTGTGTAAACAAGAATCATAATGAGATACCTTTCAAAAAAGCTGATGTTTCCATTACCAATGTGCACTGTCACATAATTTCTGAGGTAATTTCACCTGTAGCTTACAGCAGTCTACTAGAAACAATAGCAGGCCCTGTAGCAATGAGGTGGCTGTTAATTGCCACGGGTGTTTGGCATTGATGGGGTTCTTTGTTGGCAACCGTTCTAACCCAATTATGTTTCTAAAGTAGAACTGAAAAGCATTGTAGGGAGCACCATGTAAATGGCACTAAATGCACAGAGACTGAGCGACCTCCCAGAAAGATAGACAGGTGCCAGCTAAAGCCCCATATGATTGATTTTCCACGGCTAAAATGGCAACCACAGACATCTGGTTTTGCCCCATTTATAACAACAGCAGCAAATGTGAGCTGTTGTCTTAGTTAGAACAGCAAGGCTTCTTAGAATGACATAGAAATATGGCATTTGACTATCAATGGGTGATCTTTTGCTTTTCTGTGAGCAAACATTTCTACTTCCAGCAGTAGGAAGTGAGTTTTTAGTCCTCAGAAAAACACACCGAGTCTGTGTGTGTATGTACATGTGCACGTATGTGACTGAGTTTAGTACTCGGGCTTGTTTTAATGCAGGCCTGATGTTTTAAGTCGGAGGTTTTTCTTAGATGTAGGTATAGCTATACAAAATGGGCCAAAGCCAGCATAAAGAAAACTAACCATTCAGTTGAGCAGTATCATGTGGGTAGCAAAAAGCCTTGCAGATCCAGGACTGGTGGAAGAGATAGTCAGCTGAGCATCTTATGATGTTTCCGCTAGCCAGCAACACTAATGTGCTTTCTAAATGATCCTGTAATAGAAAGTGCAGTGTTGCTGTTCTTTGCTGTTGCACGTGCAGAATACCAAGTGCCCTTCTACCTGTTTACTTGCTGCTAGGAAGGTCAAAAGCTTTTGCTCTGTTAAATTACTTTGTATTCCTGGGAGTGTTACATGAGACTCACACCAGACTGTCTGATGTGATGCATGGGTCAATCTAATGAGCAGTTTCAGAGGCAGAAGGTAATGGGCTATGGAGGAGTTCCTGTGTCCTTTGTCCATGGCTGCTTCCTATTGATAAGCATTTTTTGGGGGGGGGGCATGGGGAATTCTTCAGTCTGCAAAACTATGCAATGAAGAACAGTAGGTATGTTAATTTATGCAGTTGTCTTTTATACAGAAGAGAGTTTAATAATCTCTCTTTGTTAGAACTTCACAAAAGAGACTGAATCACAGAAGGTGAACTTCCAAATCCAAAAGCAAAGATGTGATCACTACAGCTTAATGATACAGCAACCATTGTTAGTTCTTTTTTGTATAGTATTTATGCCCTATCATCAGACGCTCTAATATAATCCAGAAATGACTGGACCAGTGGTGTATTATTATGCAAGACAGTTCACTACCATGAATTTCCTTTGGTTTTCAACATTCTTGTATTTGTCTGTAAATCCAAAAAAATGGGTGCATATTTACACAACTGTAAGAGCCAGAACTGCAGGGAGGAGCAGACCTCAACATGCCACCCGCCAGCTCTGAGCTAGAAGTGGCCTGAATGCAACAGCATGGGCCGATTGACCTATTTGTGCCAATTCTGGCTCCCTGAGGCTGTATCTGTACCATTACCCCTACCTGGCTAGTAACCTTAGAGCTGGTTTATGCCTGACAGTGCTCTCACTGTGAAGACATTTGTTCTTCCCTGCCCCTGATGACAACCGATTGACCAGTCCTTGCAGCATGTTTTCTCCCAAGGCCCTTAACAATCAGAGTGACCCGGGTACTATTTTTTTTTACAGCCCAGACTACATGTTAGATGAGAGGGCTGCTGTAACAAACCTGGCCTGCTCTCCTCCGACATAAACCAAACTCCCAGTGAGGGAAGCACAAGGAATCCTGTCAGCGCTGACCCGGGGGTAGGGGGGTGCTCAGGGCTATCGCCCGCTGGAGCGCCCGGCAGCCGGGGGTGACAATGCTCCGGGCTCGGGTGCAAAGGCACCCGGGGATGGAGGCACTGCGGGCCCCGATGGGCGCTGCCCCGGCCGACGGGGCCCGTCCCGGGGGCCGCGGGCCCGACCCGCACCGGGGACCCGCCTGAGGCGTCGCTGAGGCAAAAGCGCCGCGGTCCCTCCTTCGCGTCCTTCCCTGGGAGGTGCCACGCCGCTTGCTCTGATTGGTCACCTTTTTCCCTTTGGCCCAATGAGCTCCTCCCGCTGTAGGGTTCCCGGCGGTGAGGTCACTAAGCCGTGGCCCAATGCCGAAGCGAGGCCGAGCAGAGGGCGGGCGGGGATTGGCCGGCCGCGGTGCTGGCGTGGGTCGATTGGCCGGGCCCGCGGAGGCGGTGCGGAAGCGCGCTCCGCTGAGGGCGGCGGGGTGGCGGTGGTGCCGGCCGGGCTGCGGCGCGATGAGGGGCGGCTGCCGCCTCTTCCCGCTCCTGCTCCTGGCGCTGCTGCGCGGGCTGTGTCACGGCAGGGAGCCGGCGCCGGGCGCTGTTACCTGCGGATCGGTGCTGAAGCTGCTCAACACCCGCCACAGCGTGCGGCTCCACTCGCACGAGGTCAAGTACGGCTCCGGTGAGCAGGGCCGGGCCGGG